TATAGCGTCTTTTGGTTCTTAGTGGTAAAGTGTCCTTCCTGTTTTTCTTGTTCCTGTTCTTCCTGTTCTTGACAGAGAAAAGTATTGTATTATTGGGGGGTGGGGGGGGGGGTTCAGATGCCAATTTTCTGCAGCATTTGTTCTTCCCTGTAGTTCTTATTCTTACGATTTTTATTTTTGTTCTTGTTCATCTTTTTCTTTTTCTTCATCGTCTTCTCGTTCTTGCTCTTGTTCTTATTCTTTTTTATTTTAATTCATCAAGATATTTTTGTCCTTGTTCTTTTCTTGTTCTTGTTCTTGGTCTTTGTCAAAAAGAATAATTGCAAACTCGTAAGTCATCTGTTACTTCGGTACCTTGAGACCTCTACCGCCCGCCCCGCCCCCCGCCCCCCTAAAAAAAAACCACACATTCTCACGCCCTCCATTGTCGGCTGTTGCCGAGGAGACGGTGTATTTCTCAGGGGGGAAAAAGCTAAAAAACACACAGTGATAAGTCTGTCTTATTGCCTTATAACTAAGGACTCCGGTCTTCACTCATTAGACTAACGAGGTTACTCGTGACTATAAATCGGAAGTCTTACGAGGATAACCACGGCTCGTTAGTACAGCTTCTTGAAAGCAGTTCGTCTTCACCCTATCTCTTTTCTTTTGTCCTCTCAATCCTTGACTTAGCAATGATAAGAGTAATAATAATTCTTAATGATTTGTGTTTGCTGCCTAGGAAAAGAGGTGGTATTTTTTTGTGAGGCAACAAAGATGGAAAGAGGATTTTTATTGAGTTATACAAACTGTAACTGTAACTGTAACTCTATATTGCTATTACCTAGGTCCCTATTGACACCCTTTTAAATCATTAGGAAGCAGGCTGCTTCTGTTCCTCTTAATGTTTCTTTAATGCTTTTGTTGGGGTTCTTCACTTATTTTTGCTAAGATGTTTGGTGATTTGTTGTTATTGTCGTTGTCTTTGTTGCTGTTGTTTAAGTAAATCGCCACTGGAAAGACATTTATTGAATCCTTACGGTAATGGCAGATTCGAAAACGTCTGTGTAAGGCTTTTCCAATTCTCAAAAAAGCTACACTCTCAACAACTCTTTCGGAAAGAAGTACCACCCCTGGATTTAGAATTCCAACATTAATACGGTTATTAGCACAGATCTTATGTGGCAGAAAAAGGGATAAACACTTATCCTCATTTGATACATTAACAAACGATTTGAATGTTCTCCTCAGTGTCCAGCCAGACTACAAAGTGTAACAACCTCCACAGAACGTTTAGCCGGGTAAATGTCCCTATAATACGCAGTAAAAAACATATTGCTAAGCAGTAGGCCTACCATCTTATTCCTTTTCACCACTCATTACGAATTTGATTAACCATCTGTGTACATATATTTGCGTGTTTACATAAGAAGGAGGTGTCTAAAAAGGGACCCTTTTAAAGGGGAATAGCTTAGATACCTTTTGACTGATTTCAAAACAACTTTGAAGTAATACAATTCAACCCAGCAGACGTTACATTTGTCAATGTGAAAAATATCAATCAACATTTTCGAAAAATGTTAAATTACGAAAAAATTAAACCAAAATTGAGTGAAATGCAACGTTTTGCAACTTCTTAAAAACCAAGCATATTGGTTCTATTTCAAATGGTCATCATTTGCGCGTTGAGGAATAAATTTTTACAAATTTGCTCCATTAACAAACGCTTTGAATGTCTGCCTCGGTGTCCAGCCAGACTACAAAATGGAACAACCTCCACGGAATTTTTAGCCGGGTAAATGTCCTTATAATACGAAGGGCAGGTGATGGCTATTGAGATAACCAGGTGTTGACCTATTCTCTCTATACTAGCTCTTATACTACACAGGAAATTTTGAATAACCCTGTAACAAGTTTCTGGGTTGATTTTTTGGACGTCCTGTTCAACGGTGAGCTTCAACAGTTAGAATATTTGTTGGTTGTTTCCGTAGACTATGTCTCTCAAAAACCCCAAATGTAATAATTGAAGGGGCTTATGTGGGGAGAATGTGATACCCATCCATTTGTAAATTGTTGGTTCAAAAGGTGTTCCCCTAATCTGTCTTGCAACCATACAAGGGACACTCTTGACGTGTTGGGTGTGGCCCCATACCACAGGAGCTAGGCCTCTTCAGCATAAAACATTCTCATCTCCAAATTTCACAAAACCTGTCTTACCATAGCGAGATATTCATCTGATGTGACTTGTGGTTTTACCTCCCTTACCCTGAAACCAGACCAGGCCGATCACTCCCATGTAGCTAAAAGCTTTTAAGAGAAAAACTAATGCGATTACATTTTTGAACTTTTTATTTCTCGAACACTTTGATTCATTTTCTTGATTTACAAACTTGACGTTCCCCCTGACTGAATTGCATTTGTTAACAGTTTTGTAAGAAATTAGTACAAAGATGATAGAGTTATTGCCCTTTTGTGTGAGGCCCCAATATCTCCTGCAGGTAATTACAACTATTATTACCCAAGAAGATCCTAAAACACTCACACGATCACTATCTCTAGTCGTGTACCAATTGCCACTGCGTGAAGTGAGGAAGATGCGTGTAAAGTGCCTTCACCAGGCAAGGACACGACTTCGGCCTCCTGACGGGTTCGAACACTAGACCTTGCGAATGCAATTCAAAGAGCCTAACCATCAAGCCACCTACGACAAAAGGGAACAATACGTGCAGATCTTATGTAATGAGGAAATGCGCACATTGAACTGAGAAAGACTATGCTCAGGACATGTTGATGACAGATAGCCCAGCACCCGTTGTTACGTATTGGCATCGATTTTGGACTCCTGACACGGCATTTGCTGATGGAGTTAGTGGTAGTGGGGAATACATAACTAAGGCACTGAGGAGATGGAGAGGAACTGTGCGTGTGTGGGAGGAGGGCCGGACGGGGAAAATCCTCTTCCATAAAAGCCGACCTTGAGAAAGAGAAATAAACAAAACAAAACAAAACAAAACAAAAAAAGTTTTTAAAAAAACCCCACCAAAAATCAAGAGAACATCAAAACAGTTGTGCTCTTGGGGCGATTCCTGTTTTCAATTTAGACAATGCGTTATTTCTTTGTAGAGACAAAACGCAGATCTAAAGCAGCAAATTTGGAAGTTCCAACAGCTCCAAGATTGGATAGGTAAAAGGGAACAAAATGAATTTTCCTTTTGGCTCGGATCGTGAGGTGAACGATCAATCAGAATCCCAATTCTGTATCCGGTTTGTTGTTTTGCGGTGGGGGTTTTGTTGTTTCTTTGTTTCTTTGTTTGGTTGTTTGTATTGTTTGTTTGTTTGGGTTTTTTGGGGGGTTTTTGCTTCATTTTTCTTTAACCAGATCTACTGTTCTTGCAAACCACAGAATAGGGTACTTGACAGACAGTGGCATGGATGGCAATGTGTAACCAACAGCAATCAGGGCGGCCGCCACCAGGGCAAAATTCTAAATTTCCTACCAACTGAAAATATTAGGTGTGTCCCGCGCGCTTATATGACCTATGCAGTTGCGAGCGCCTTAAAACACTTTACAAAAACAAACAAAACAAAGAAAATGCATCAACGCTCTCTCTGTCTCTGTCTGTCTCTCTCTCTCTCTCTCTCTCTCTCTCTCTCTCTCTCTCTCTCTCTCTGTCCCTCTATCTGTCTCTCTCTCTCTCTCTGTCCCTCTGTCTGTCCCTCTCTCTGTCCCTCTCTCTGTCCCTCTCTCTGTCCCTCTCTCTGTCCCCCACCCCC